GGCAACCTCTGCATTTGGAATGGTTAAGTGATCTGATGAAGAGACCTATAAGTTTGACATTCAGAATAATATTATTTTTACCTTGCCCTAAGGAAAGAGACTTATTAATGTTGGGTATATTGACCCTGAGGGATAGTTCACACCATAACTGCATGTCCTTGCACAGCTGCAGTGCGATGCGTTTTGACACATTTTTACCGCGGTTTTACGTGTTGGGTTTTTTTTAGCTTAAAATGGGCTTTCAGGTGCACTCCAGTGCGTTCCCGTCTGTTTGCACGCATTTTTGATGCATTTTGATGTGTTCTGTTGCGATCAGGAACAGCTAAAATGAGACAAGCAGTATTTTTTCTGACTGCATTGGAACAGACTGCACTGGTGTGTCAGAGCACCAGAAATCCCATTGGAAAGCATTGTGACGCGATTTTGATGCAGCTACCAAACTGAACAGACTGCATCGAACAGGCCCTAAAGCAGCGACAGATAACCTTGGCAGTCAAGCTGTTGAGTCCCATGAAGTATTGCAAGACCCTACAGCCACCAGCATGACTCCCAGAGGCAGAGTCGTGTTGGGATTTGTAGTTTCACCACAGCTGGAGTGCCAAGGTTGCCTACCCTTGTTGTAAGATATCAGAGTCTGAATCTAAGCCAAAGTCGAGGTCCCTGTGCTGTGTGCAGCAAGCCCGGGAATAGCCTAAAATCCTATCAGAATATGGCTGCATTTGCTACCTGTGCCAGGTGTAGCACAATTTTATAGCTTTTAATAAACATTTCCCATTGGATCAGTACATATTTGTAACTCACTTTGCCCTTGCTGTACACACCTCTACATGTCAATGTAATCATCCTTTAATGGACACCTCCCCCTGGTATTTCGGTTCTCAGTGTGCACTACTGGGTTATATTACCTACTCCTTCCATCTCTGTGAGATTACAGTGGTGAGATTTCTCTGCCATAGCTTGTGCCTTTGTCTCCTTTCTCAAGGTTATAACACAAGTGTCATGCTCGGCTGGGCTCCCCAATTATTTGTTCATGCTACATTAGGCAGAATCCATTGGGAGATCCTGAGACCATCACTTGGTTTTCTAATGGCCCTGGCAGAGGGAGAAACCTAGAACTCTAGTGGAATATCTTACTACTGGTGCCACCGAGTGATACAAGATGCCAGCAAGCGATTCACATTGCCGACAGCCGTGCACAACTAAAATAAACATTCTGCCTTCCAACAGGCGTCAAATAATCTATTTAGAAACTAGGCAATATATTATATCACTGATAAATGTCTCATATTTTCTGCTGTGAACAGAGTGGGGAAGTGCCGCTGAACAATAGCTTAGATTTCATAAACTCGTGTTACGTCAATGTGCGGAAAACGTATGCCTTGCATTAGGTCATGCGTTCAGGTGCACAAAAATGTGTTCAAATTCTGAATAGCATTGCGCTTACTTATGCAGTAAATGTAAATGTCACGTATTTGGTGGATCCCTAGGAGCAATGAGAAGAGGGGTTGGGGTTTTTCCTATTTATTACAATGTATGTAAACCTTAGTATATAAAATAATTACGCAATTATATTGTACTAAATTACTCTTTTTTTTTTTCAGAATCACTTTTTATTAGGTATAAAAAAACCTGGTGATCATGACAGCTCCACCTGCTTCCTTCTTCTACAAGACAACACTGTGCCTATGCAGCTACCCCCTCCAGCATAGCCATCCCAGTCACTTCCGATGGAAGCATTGTTCTGCATTGTATCTACTTTGCCTGCTGCCAGAGCTCCTATGGAGCACTTTTGTAGCAAGAGCATAAGCCAAGGATCTGATTAATTTAGCTTCTAGGTTTAGTAATGTACTGTGGCTGTCACTGACAGCTGACTGTTCCACTAGAGCCAGCATTGGGAGGATATAGGTCCTCAGGGTGAGTGCGGACGGGCCTCATGTGGCCAGATTATCTGTGAAATTTTTGACACTGTGTGTCCCTGTTGGGGGTGTTTCCTCTCACATTCCTCTCTGCCTGACATTCATTGAATAGACAGAAAGCAAGAAGGTCTTTCCTCGCTTAAGTAAGAATAATGTCTTTCCTCGCTTAAGTAAGAATAGAACTCCCCAGTGGAGACTGCAATAAAAAGCTGACAGGGGTGCTATCCCTTACCTACTCTCTAGAAAATTATATCAAGTTTTTTGGCTGGAGTTGGGCTTTAAAGTGTATCTAAAGCTAATGCATAGAGTTTAGAAGGGTTAAAACCCTTCTATGGTTTTATTTTGCCATCTATGAATCCTTAGGTAGATTTTCCCTTTGCTTCCTGTCAGGCAGACACAACAGGAAGTGAGACTAAATCTCCCGAAATGGAGGGGAAATCCCCTCTCAGACAGCTGTCCCAGGAACAGATGTCCCCATAGGAAGATTTCCCCTCACCTCCTGTTTTTGTGTCAACTGTAAAGGTTGGCCTTCCCATCACCTTCTGTTTTGGCCAGGAACAATAGAGAGGATGAATCCCCCTAGCCTGACAAAAAATACCTGAAAGGGATTCTAACGCTTTATTTTAATGACATACAGTAGTTTTATTTTAATGACATACAGTAGTTTTGGTAAATCTTAGGGTGCCCACACACCTTACGATTATCGTACGATAACAGCCGCACGGGCCGGTGTGCGCAAGCGCACACTGCCCGTTCGGCATTGCGGTCATCGGAAACCCGCCCCTCAGGGGGCGTGGCTTGCGATCATCGCAAGTACGATCTGCCTATGCAACATAGGCAGATCGTACGTTTTTTTAAGTACCTTACAACCATCGCAAGACAAAAGTCTTGCGATGGTTGTAAGGTGTGTGCCCAGCCTAAAGGAGACTGTACAAAGATTGCACCAGATTGTACAGCATATGGTGAGCTTCTGACAGCTGTCACCAGAACAGGTGTCCTTATTGGAAACTGCATCTTACTAGCAGCAGTGGGACGACTGGCCCAGGAAATTCACCCAATGCAACAGATTCACCCATCATCCATTTTTGGCTGCATGTAATTTATGAAATGTTGAAAGATTTCTGCAACCAATGGCCAGTAATTTGGACTTCAGCTGATTTGGGGAAAAGATCTTAGAATGCAGTTTTAACATATGTAAAACAAATGTTCCTTGCCCTCATTCTTGGAGAGAGATTTTCTCATCTCACATATTGTTAGAGACAAATAAATATAGTCAGTGTACACTGTAAATCCTACCAACGTTATTGTGAAATTTCCAATATTTCAGGCTTGGATGCCTGGGTTTACAATTTACAGACCCCCAATGTATCGCCCAGTATGTCCCCACATCCTCTTTATAGGCTGACATTATTATTATCACCAGTCTTATTAGGTACCAGTATGATTTCAAAAGATGTCAGTGGACTTCTCTAGAGTCTCTCCCATCCTCTGGAACTCTTTACCCTAACTTGTCCGTCTATCTCCCACCTTGACTGCCTTTGGTCGATCCCTAAAGACTCATCTCTTCAGGGAAACCTATCCCACCTCAACCTAACCACTGAACCATCACATTCTCAAACAATTCATCCCCACACAGCTACCGCCTCATGTATCACTTCCCCCTCCCTTTTAGATTGTAAGCCCTCAGGGGCAGGACCCACCTTACCATCTTGTCTTGAATTGTATTGTGATTGTAAATGTTTCCTTATATTGTAAAGCGCTGCACAAACTGTTGGCGCTATATAAATCCTGTATAATAATAATAATAATAACTACTTGGTTTTACTTTCTATATCGATAGCTAAGAACAGAACATCATAAGGGTTTCATCAGTAATTATAAATTAATTACTTATATACATAAAACAAAACAAAGTTCGTCTACAACTAGTACAATTTCTGCTGTTGTTTGTGTGCAATTAAACTATACAATCGAGGTACAATTACTGACAATGTCACTCAATTGAGTTGATTCCTCCACTTTATTTCAAGGTCACTAATATAGAGAACCCTATTTCAATTTGTCAGGGCTTGACATATCCCGGGAGCCAGGCCGCCAATGCTCCTTACAAATTACAGCTGGCGCCTTTAGGTTTTCCCTAGCTGTTGTCAATAGAATTGGTTAAAATAAATCATGCTGAATCCTGGATTGGACAGGCTGGCTCCTGAATTCCATATTCATTTGTAAACCCCTGATTTAATTATTTAGAGACACAGCCCCATACCCCCATCATCTGTCTCCCCTATTTTAAGTACTCCAATTCTAGAAGCGGTTAACACCACATTATGGGAAAAAAAAAAAACTGGAAAAAACTGAAAACGTAACATTTATTGGGAAGAATTAAAAGGCTGCATGTCTGTTCCATTAAACCTATGCATTTAAAATTGAGAAGAATTCCTATGAACTCTTGTTGGATGTTTGTACGTGAATTTAAACATAAATACTATTAGGACACATAAAAATAAGAATAAAAATGGATGTGGATCTAAATATATATGGGTAAAATATTAAAATACTTAAAAATTCCTTCCATTCTCCTTCTTTATCCACTTGTTGGTCATCACACCCAACTGTGTTCTATACACTTGTGTCTATATGTATACCAAATAGGGCTGTAGCGCTTCCAATCCAGTTTTTTTTCTTTGTGTATACTGCTAAAGGAGGCAGCACACCCCCAGCCACTAGTTAAACGCACCTTGCACCACCAGAGTAGTGAGTTTACTACATTTGCCGTTTAACACCACATTATGGTGTCCCTGGCCCCTAGTGGATACTCCATAGGAGGATATGGGAAATGTATTCTAGAGAGGGGACTCAAATCATTGCAAAAATACTGTAGCTGCCACTGCAGGAGCAGAGGGAGGAAGAAAACTCCCAACCAGCGTCATAAAAAAATAATTCAGACACCAGGCAGGGGACGGGGAAAAGGGGGGCATGCCTGATATCACCTACAATAAAAAAAATGGCTGTAATAAAAAAGACAGAAAAGAAACAATCACAATCATATGATGTAACAAACGAAGGTAAAGACAAAATGGAACATACTTTATGACTACAGCTGCTGAGCCGCAGATGATAATCCTCTTCTACATATTTCCTTTTAAAGTGTGTATTCTTGGATGCAGTTTTGGGATGTGAAACTCCCCTGTTATGTGACTCTGTGGTAATAAATCAGATATGACAGATGATGACACATAGTTCACGCAAGGTTCTCCAAACAACATAACTTAGTTTCCTAAGACACACACACAGAACACATCATGCCACACAGCGATATTCTACTGCTCCAAACACTCCAAATGTAACCCAGTGCTGGAAGAACTAGCAGAGAGTGTCTCCAACCTTAGAACAATGCAGCGAGGAAATAATGCAAAAATTAAAGGACAACTATAATAATATGGTAACATGTGTTCAATTATATTAAAGTTATTACATTTATAAACAGAAACATTTTTCTGTGCGTGTGTATATATATATATATATA